CTATTAGTATTACTATTAGTATTACTATTAGAGTAACTATAGTTCAAGGATAGAGATGATGTCCAGATTGAGACATGTCATTTTCGTAAATGTGGGGGTAGGCCCTTTAAAATCAACAGGGGTGTTCGGTGTTGTTTGTTCATTTCCACCGAGAAACATTATGTCACTTCACAGGAAGTGTGCAAAAAACTGCTTTTCAGCGAGACTACTCGCCCGTTTCCCACTGTTTCCCACCATTGCTACTATTATACGCGCCGTCTTCGTTCTCCTGACTAATTGCTGTTAGCCATCTGTCTCTCCTCTCGGGCTACGGCAGCTCAAAGAATGATCGTTTTTTGTCACTTGAAAGACTGTGATTGCGGCATCCAAACACCACATAATTCCTTGGCACTATGCCGTATATATGCGCTGCGTGCGGTGCGTTACTACGGTTTGTTTTCATCGGCTCGAATCTACATCCGGTCAAATAGTCAAAAGTTCCCGGATGTCCGCCCCCACCTATATGCCCGGCAGCCGGGCACGGTCTTCGTTTTCCTAAATGCCCGGCAGTTCCTAACCCTAACTCTAACCCTAACTCTAACCCTAACCCTAACCCTAATCCTAACTCTAACCCTAACCCTTGTTTACTTGAGATAACGCTAAAAATTAAAAAACTGCCAGGCATTTAGGAAATCGAAGACCGTGCCCGGCAGCCGTCAGATATATGCCGGCTGCCGGGCATATAGGACATATAGCCACTCTGTATTACTATTACTAGTATTAGTATTACTATTACTAGTATTAGTACACATTCACATTCACATTTTCAACAGTCAAGACTTCAACCTTCAAACGCAGTCATTTTTCGTGTTCCTCTGTTTTTTCTTAATAGTGGTGGTTGTATGTGTCCCTTACTGCCTCGCAACCACCAAAGACTGTATACAATAAATTATTATGAAATTACTATATTTTTAGTCACTACACTAAATTTAGTGTAGTAATCGTGCAATGTCTAGAAATGGTTGTTTGCCGAAAGTAGATGGGTTCCGAAGACCCATGGCTGGCAATAAAGATTTAGTGCAAGCATGGCGCAAGCTATCGGAGCTTGTCGGAGCCCAGTCTACGTCGGCCTTTGAGATCCGGTTAAAAGCTATTTAACAATTCAGAATAAAAATACTCATATTTTATAAATCAAAATATAAAAACATTTGTGCATTATATTTACATTTTGTACATTTTTTAGCATTAAATATAATTTTTTTAATTTTAATTGAACACATGTTTATTTATTATTCTACACTCTTATATAATTGTTGCTAAATCAGCTGGCAGTTTTCTACTAATTGATCAACTGACAAATCAGAAGGCGTGTTACATTTTTCGATGACAATATGGCTGCTTCCATGGAGAATAACGTGCATCCGAAAATTGGACCAGATATATCCGTATTTATGAAAGGAGGCAGTAATATGCTAGGATTCCGTCCGTTATTTTCGCGTGACTCAAAGTAGGCTTCTCGTATAATAACTTTTGTATGATATTGCGTTTTTGTTACCATTGTATTGTCGGCCGTATTCCGGCGTTGTATTGTAATGTCGATTTGGCAACGGCAATCCAACGCTATCACCCGGTATCACTATCAGTATCACTATCAGGTCACACACGACACGTCAATACATGATTAATTTTATGATTCTTTTCAGCAGCTACGAAATAGATATGTATATCAACACACACGCATTCATGCATGTAATTATATATGTTCTCTACTTATAAGTTATATATTATTAATATATGACATGTGTTGAAGTATAGATTGCATCGGCCCAAGGATAGAGAACATGGGTCCCAATAATAAAACCAATGTGCCTAAACCTAACCCTAACCCTAACCCTAACCATAACCCTAACCTATTATATTGATATAATATTATATTTATATTGATGTAAATGACATTGGTTTTATTGGGACCCATGTTCTCTATGATCTATCCTTGAACCGCATTTGTGCATGTAAGTTGTAACGCCTCTCTTGTTGGGTTACATTATTCTTGACAGACAACTGAATATAGACAACCACGGACAATTGAAACCAGCGGCAGATTATGTGCGGAAATTTCTGGTGATTCGAAACAATAATATTTAGAAAATTCCAAAAGGCGGTTAGTTGAATAAGTTCCCGCCGATTTCGCGTGAAATCTCGTGTGAAATCTCGAATGGTAAATAAAATTATTAGTTGATGAGGTTCCCGCCGATTTCGCGTGAAATCTCGTGTGAAATCTCGAATGGTAAATATAATAAGATAAGATAGAACAGCTTTATTGTAAAGCCAACCGTTTGTATCTTGTATCTTGCATTTCGACGTAGTTTCACAACTTCTAAGGAACTGTGCCGAAGAAGAAGTCAAAGTTAATGCAATTGATAGCTCTGCACTGCGGTCATATCGTCAACAACGACATCAAAATGTAATTTGCTCTCTGTATCTGATATTCACTGATTTTACAATTACTGACGCACACTGTTGCCACGGTCCCTCACCGTGTCAGGTCAGTACGGCTCATAGGGTCTATTTCCCCCAGGGCGAAGCTAGTAATTCGGACCCACCGTAGTTTGGACCCAACAATTCAGACCCACTTTTAGTAATTTGGACCCACTTTGGTAATTTGGACCCACCACATTTTCGAGCCAATTTTTAACTGATGTATTTCTAATATTCATTATAACAGTATAATAATACATATTTAGATACTTCCTTATAGCAACGTCTGTTAGAGGCTTACTTAGTAAACAATTATCGCGAGCTGTTTTTGAACGATTGATGTTGAATTTGGTGGGTTTTGAGCGTATCAGAGTATGTATAATTGCACGCTTAGATTTAATATATTGAGTTATAGGTAGATGATAGGTAGAGGATTTCGTAGGTAGAGATAGTTGAGTATTATAATATAGGTAGACTAAGGCAAGCAAATGTTTAATTTCGTGTTTTGAGCGTGTCTAACTCCTGTACCGTGTACGTCTACGACTAAGGGTAAGACTATAAGAGTAAGACTAAACTCAATGACATGGTTACAAGTTAAAAACACATACATAGTTTACAAGTATCTTGATCTTGTTATA